GTTAACCTTAATTTACAAGTACATCTGTTGCATTCAACTAGCACTTTGCTGACAAGTAAGCTATACAGTTACCACTATGTTTAGGCACTTTTATTATTATTTCCTAGGAATTATTATGAGCTGCCATTTTAATTCTCCTATGTGCAGTTCATTGCATTTCTCAAAGTGGTTTTATGCTCAACATTTTATTTGTCCCTCCCAAATGTCCCCTTAAGGAAAGACATCCAGGAGACTTCTCGTTCACATTTTAAGTTATAGAAACAAAAAAGTGGCACATAAGTTAGTTATCATGCTAAGCCCAAAATCCAAGTCTCATAAGCCTACATTTATGCTTACCAACTGCCACTTCATCCTTTTCAGTTATCTTGCAGGGCAAAGTGAACTGTTACTAAAAGGATGCAACAGTACACTGCCAAACTGCAGCAATGACTTCTGTCAAAACATTTACCCCTTGTGGCCCTTGGGAGATAATGTGCTAAATAAACTGTAGAGTTAAGATAGTGAGGTGAGGGATGGGACAGAGAGGGTGGAGAATGTTGGCATCCATTTTCAAACAGGTTAGAAAATTGATCTAACACATAGTTACTTGGCACCCTCTCATGATCCAGTTACTTGGACTTTGTGCACCATGGCTGACAGAAAGGAGAACTCCCACAGTGTCACTCAGTTCTGTACCTCTGCTCTAGAAATAATGTATAACATTTGCTCAACAGGATGGTTGATTCTATTCATGACCCTCAACTCTGCTGAGAAAAGACCGATACAACAATTTTAAAGATCAATAAAATTCTCTTAAACAAAAAATTTCCCTTTTGTTACTAAAAAATTAAGTGAAATTTTCCAATTCCTAAATTAGAAGAGACTTAACTGTGGTTCACCTTTGTTCTCTCAAGCTTTTAATATTCAGCTCAGTATAACTTCCCTAAACTAGCAACAATCACTAGGGGTTAATTCACAAGATCAGTTTCTTCCCCCTTGCCATAAATGTGACTTCAGGTCCTGGGAAACTGGACTTAAACACCAGGCTATCAGTGTAGTGGACCAAAGTCATTCAAATTATAATAATTTATTGCAATAATTATTTATCCAGCAATTAATATATATCAGACTTCTTCTCTATCTTATTTTATACACAACTTAATCCTCATAAGTCCATCAGGTAGTATACCAATTACCTGGCAAGAACTGGGGAACACAGGGTAAGAACTGCCCAGGTTCACACAGAAACAAATGGCTGATTGAGGGCTTGAACCAGGGCCTTAACTTCAACCACTACACCAAAACTGCCTAGTACTCAACTATAATCCCAGTGATCATTAAATTAATTGTACGACCCTGAGCCAGTCATTTCATACCTCTAGGCCTTGGCGAACTTTCGAGTGCTTTGTTGCTTTTAACGTTCTGTGATTCTCCGACTGGATTACTCCCCTTCTCCTGAAATGGTGCTGTAATTGTTAAGACTAAAGTTTCTCAACCACTGTGCGTTCTCGTTCTAGTACATTCCTCTTATTCTTCAGGATGCTAGGATCCAGTCTTCGCCTTAGGGTTTTAGTTTTAAATACTCAACTGTAACACTTCTCTTAAATATTCTCTTGCTCTAACTTCACCTTTCCCTACTAATAAGGGTACGTACTAGGCCTGATTCCACGCCAGACCTTTGCCTGGTTACATTAGCTCATCATGCGGCTGCCCAGGCAGCCAGCAAGAGGTCTAAGAAAGTCCTAGAAGCAAAGCTACAGAAGTTAGCTTTCCCAGAGGTCAAGGAAGGCTCTGGGGCACCTGCCACGCCTCCCGACCCCGGCGGTGCGGCCTGGGCCTGGCTCCCCAACCGAAGGCTTACCGGTGAGGTACGAGTCCCTCACCGCCGGCAAGTCTGCCAGGGCCTGGGCAATCTAAAGCCAGCCCGACACTCGGCCCTCGGCCACGCCCGACCCCTCGGCCGCGACAGCGCGCTCCAGGCCGCCCGAGGTTCTCACAGGCCCGAGGACGCGCACAGGCCTTCGGTCTCACCTCTAGCCTACCAGGGACCGCCAGCGGTGGCCAAGCCTTCTCCCGCCCGCACAACTGGCCCTACGCTGCAGTAGACACCGCAGCGGAGGGAGTCCAACCGTCACGTGCCGCAGAACCAAGAGTCCTCGGCTACCACTGCCGCGCGAGTGAACCCCACCGCACGAAGCCTGGCCCAGCGCCCACCCCTCGCTCCTGAGTAGCTACAGACGACGTCAAGTCCCACCCCCCCGCGAAAGCTCCGGCTTTCAATTGGTCAGGACGAGCATCGCTCTATGCACCTTCTCATACGCCCCCTAGGGCTATTCTTCGTGGAGTATGAGGATTGGCCTAGAGTGAGGCAGGAAGTGGCTGTTGGTTGGGCGGGAGGTGAGGGGGAGGCCCGCTGAGTATCAGGGACCCTGGGCGCGCGCGTCTCGGGGCGGGGCGGGGCGGGCGTTCCTGTGGCCTGTTGCTCTGGTGCCCTAGGGGATAGTGGGTCAGCGTTTTTACCCACCTCTTTGGTCCCTCCCCGCGGAGTACCTAGAGCTCCGACCCGGGTCTCGTATCTCCTCCCCGTCGCTGAAGGGACGAGTGGCAGCCAGCAGAAAGAGTGGGAGGTCTGGTCGGCCATCAGAAAGGGCTGTTTGCAGGGAGTGCGGGCGCCGAAGCGGCGCAAGCGGAACGTTGGCCCTAGGTGCCTCGCCCCGCCTGGAATCCACTGCACCTTTCTGTGTAGGCAGGAACCACTGTTCCTGCACTGTCATGGTCCTGGGCCCCGGAGCCTGAGCCTGCGATCGCCGCAGTGCCTAACATAACATAGCACACGGTCTAGAATAACACAGTCTGAGGTTCTTTCGGCTTTCAATTTGTGCTGTCTTGAGAAACATCAGATGTAAGGGCAGAGATACACATAGGGGACTGGATTGCTAGAAAAGGGTAGTGCAGTGGAAAGATTTAACGTAACACCACCATGTTAGTAACCCACTCTTAACACATCTAATACGCTGAGAACCAATGGAAGAGGCCCAAGGTTTTTCTAAAGCTTTAGAAGTCATGATCTCTGTCCTCCATTCTCTCTCCTCCCATTCGTTTGGAGATCCCAAAGACTTGGAAGAAGCTAGAATCACCTGAGAAGCAGGGTTTATTACCTCCTGCCACCTGGAAGAAGAGGAAAGGAGGCAGGGTTTGGTGTTTGCATGAGTTTGGCATCTTCCAACTCTCAGCCCCCAAATTCTTGTAGGAGAATTTTGCTTTCCTATTTACCTGGGGAAGTAGATATTCAAAGCAGAATAAAACTCTGGGTGCCACACATTCCAAATAATGAGCTTAAAATATACTTACGGGACTCTTACATGTGAGCAAAAGAGCTACTACAACAAAACTAAGTACTAAAAAAAATTGTGGTACTATGGGGGTACAGTGCAGTGGCTTACGCCTTACTACAACAAAACTAAGTACTAAAAAAAATTGTGGTACTATGGGGGTACAGTGCAGTGGCTTACGCCTTACTACAACAAAACTAAGTACTAAAAAAAATTGTGGTACTATGGGGGTACAGTGCAGTGGCTTACTCCTGGAATCCTAGCACTCTGAATGCTAGCACTCACTTGGGAGGCCAAGGCGGGAGGATTGCCTGAGCTAAAGAGTTGGAGACCAGCCCGAGCAAAACGAGACCGACCTCATCTAAAAATAGCTGGGCGTGGTGGCTGGCGCCTGTAGTCCCACCTACTTGGGAGGCTAAGGCAAGAGTTTGAGGTTGCTGTGAGCTGTGACACTCTGGCACTCTACCTAGGGCTGGTGACAAAATGACACTGTCTCAAAAAAAAAAAAAA